GTTACGAGGTTCTTCATATCGACCGTCTGTTTTTGTTGCGCTGGGGAGATTCACTACAAGAGTGAGACGCACAACTTTGTGAGGCGCTACTGGCTCTAAGCTCCTCTCTAAGACTGCACTGCTCCCGATGCATCTATTTAATGTCGAAACTCGACTAGTTGTCCTTTGAATGGATGTCGTTCTTACATGGAGTGTCAGTGGATAAAGTCGTAGAAATGGTTGTGAGGGTTCTGATCGCTTCGACGGCTGTCTCAGCTGATTCCGCCAAAGGTGGTTTATAGAACAGTGCAAGGGTTCCTTGTATACTGTGGGGAAGCCTTTTAAACCACAGTTGTTTTAGGAAGTCTTTGTCGATTTTGAAATCATGAAATCGCTGTCTCGTCTGATGAAGAATTTGTGAGGGCTTACCATCTCCAAGTTCAACGTCCCTGCAGAGTTCTTGAGCTTCTGTTCGTTGGCGGGTGATACTCTTTTTATTAGGGCGGCTTTCAAACGACCGAAAACGTCTGGGCAGGGGTCACTAGATATATGTGAAATGTATTTCATGATGTCTTTAGAAAAACTGACAATTGCTAAACCCGCTTTAGTTTCTTGGGATATATACTCCGTAAAAGTAACCGACACGAACATGTGAGAACCATGAAGATTGTGCGTCGGTGGCACAGTGGTTAGGACTCTCGCCGACCATGCACATGGTCCGGGGTTCTAGCCCGCAACGACGCACACCTGTTATCTATGGTCGGCCTGCAAAATTTGGGCTACCGATATCCATGCTGAAAATTCCATACTTGTACCGAAAATACAGTATGGAATCAAGCTGTAAATCAAAAAAAAAAAAGTTGAAATATAACTGCCACCTGGGCGAGAGAGTCGTTTGGGGAAACGGTTAGATAAGGTATATGATATGAAATGATAAAAAATATGTCACCAAAATGAATCAGCACAAAACCGCAGGTAAAAATAAAAAAATAACCCGTTGTACAAAAATAAAAAACAGAGCAGTCACTAAAAAATTAAACTATGGACTAATTCGGCTTAAGGTATGACAAATAACCAATTTCGGGCTCGTCAGTTGTGAAGATACTGCTAGAGCAGTGAAAAAGCTACATTTTACGAGTTGTTACTTAACACGATCTACCTATGTACCCAAAAATTCAGTGTTATACCTTACGTGTGAGTTCTGGCTACAAGGCACAGTAAAATGACAAAAGGTAAAGATTATCTAAGAAAAAGGACTGGAACTTATCTGACGGATATGGCTTCATTACAAACTCAAAGAATGTACGTATAGACAGCACAACGGAAAAGCGCTAAATAGCGTTGGAGCCAGATAGCATATATAAAAGTTGAAACACCCTTCAAACATTAGAATATGCACTAGGTCATTATCCAGCATTACATCGTGGGCACTATTTTCTCAGATCAATTCTGATTTCGGAAAAACTAAGGAAGCTGGGCTCGATTATTACTATTATTGCTTCTTTTAGCACCTAGAGGAGCACAGGGCCTCAGCTGCACGTCTACATTGCGCATGGTTCTCTGCTAAAGTTTTTACGTGGCTCAACGTCTGTCTATATGCTTTCATCTCTTCACATCACCTCCTCCATGTCACCCCACTGCACACTGACGACCAGCTCACCGCTTCCCTTTCGTGTCCGACTCAAGCGATGGCCAGTCTTGTGGTGTACCTTTATGGTTGTTTCAGAGTGTGGCCAATTCACATCCATTTCCCCCTGCATATTTTTTGCAAAATTGGTCCTGGTTGGATAGCTACCAGAGATCTCTCACTATTGCTGATCTTTTCTGGTCACTCATCTGATCTCGAGTAGTTTTGAACGAAGGCAGTTGCTGATGAAGTTCTGTAGCTTGTTTGAGGTGCTCTTCATGACACTCTAAGTCTCTGATCCATACAGTAGCAATGAATTCACATTGGAGTTGAAAATCCAATTTCTCATCCTGTGCGTTGCTGACCTCCGTACAGACTTGAGAGAAATGAAAGCTTGCCTTGTTTTCTCGACCCTCGCCTTGATATCCTCATCAGTTCCCTCCGCCTATAGTTGAAACGATGCTTCGCAGATCGGTAGGTAAAGGAGGTTGTTTCTTTCAGGTTCATCCCATTTATTCTGGCTGATTGTTATCTGTTGTTGTTGTTGCTGTTGGCCAGGAATCTTCATCACCTCTGTTTTATATATGTTCACCTGAAGTCATATCTCCGATGCTTCTTCTGTCAACTTGTTGCGTTTCACTTGCGTATCTTCCAGTTTGTGGAAAATCAGATATATATCATCGGCAAAGTCCAGATCCTCCAAGTATTTTGTGTGGGTTCATTTTATGCCCGTTTCTTCGTTGTCCGCTCTCTATCGCATTATCAGGTCCACTGCAATCAGGAAAATCATCGCAGGTAGTGGACAACAAGCTCGTCTTACTCCAGTCTTCACCTCGAAGGATTCCGTAAGTTTCCCGTTGTGGATAACTTGGCATTCAGCATTGTCGTACAACTGTTGGATTTTGGTGGTACCCTATAGTAGAGAAGGGGTTGCCAGGTCACCTCTCCATCAACGCTGTCTGCTGAAGGCCTTTTCACAGTCAGTGAATTTAAGATAGAGAGGTAAATGTCATTCCAAGCTTTGTTTAGTGATGATTGTAGTGTTGCGATTTGATCGATGCATTGCTTGTTTCTCCTAAAGCCAGTCTGATTGATTCTCTCCAGGATGACGCTACTTAGTATTTTGAATGGGGTAAACAGGAGCACACAACTGCGTCACTTCTTGTATTGACATAAGTCTCCTCTCTTTGGCAGTTTGAATTAGTAGCCTTTCTTCCAATCCGTAGGTACCCTGCTCCCTTTCCACACCTTCTCCAGTGGTGGTGTCTCTGAGTCCATTTTCGGTGCTTCTTCTGGGATTCCGTTTGGTCCTGATGCTTTTCCAGCTTGAAGCATCTTGACCGCCTTCAGGACTTCTGTTCTCGTTGGAGGGCTGATATCCACTGGTAGTTCTGCTACCGCTGTTAGTATTATTGGGTGCGTTGTAAGGGGTGGTCGATTTAGAAGTTTTTTAAAGTGTTCAGCCCAGTATTTCATTTGTTACACCTCTTTGGTGACTGACCTTCCATTGTCATCCTTCACTGGCTTAATTTGTGACGAACTTTTGCCCGAAAGATACCTAGTTGTTTGGTAGATTGTTGCGAGGTCTCCTTTGCCTGCAGCTTGTTCTGCTTCACTTCCCATGGTTTCATAATATTTTCTTTTGTCTTCTCTGACACTCTTGTTTACTCTTCTGTTCACTGTATTGTAGCTTGCATTCAAATCCTGTTTTTGTTACTCTTCGATGCACTAGATAATCTTTTGTTTCACCATAGTGAGCCACTGTTTTTCCTGTCTCTTCTTTCTGCCAAGAACTTCCATGCAGGTTTGACTCCACACTGTTTTCAAGTTGTTCCAGTGCTTTTCGACGCCGACCTCCTCGCTAGTGTTGACTTGTGTCCCGGCTTTGTCCCTTATGTTTGCAATGAAGATGTCCTTTGTATCCTGGTCCTTTAGTTTTTGAGTGTTGAACTTGGCTTGTGGTCTATCTGCAGCTCCTGATTGCCTGAAAGCTTTTAATTTGATTTGGATTGTCCCTTGTACGAGATAGTGGTCTGAGCCAACGTCTGCTCCTCTTCTTACTTTTGTGTCCAGTAGGTTGCGCCTCCACTTCCTTGAGATTGAGATAAAGTCAATTTGGTTTTTGTTTTGCCCGTCTGGTGACATCCATGTAGCCTTGTGGATATGCCACCAATCACTAGTTCGTTGAAGGCTCAGAAGTCGGCGAAGAGTTCTCCGTTTTCATTCATTTCTCCGAGAGCTTCTCTACCCATGATGAGTTCCCTTCCTGAGTTGTCTGGTCCCAGTTTGGCGTTCATGTCTCCCATTAGTATTTTCATGTCGCCAGCTGGAGTATTGTCCATTGTTGCCTGTAGAATTCTTCTTTCTTTTCGAGGTCTGCGTTGTTTTTGGGTGCATAACATTGTATGATTGACACTTTCCTTCCTTTGGAGTTGAATCTGGTGGTCATTATCCTGGACGAGATTGCCTCCCATTGCATCAGGGCCTTTGTTTCCGTTGGTGACATCATGATAGCCACGCCCTCGGTGTGCGTGTGGTTATCTTCTGGGTGACCGGAGTAGATCACTGACTCACCCGTTGACAATTTGGTGAGTCCACTCCCATTCCATCTGCTTTCGCATATTCCCAGTGCCTAAATCCTGTATCTTTTCATCTAATTTTCAATCTGAGCAGTTTTGTCCGTCTCACACATGATGCGGACGTTCCACACGGACTTTTTCTTTTAACGCAAGGATACTTGAAGTATCCCCTATAAGTGACGATATCATGCCACCGGCTCTCAGAAACTGTTTAAGGTCTATATATATAACTAGTTAAGATGGAACAGAAACCACTGGGGAAGAGGTGCGATTGTGCAATTCAATGTCTCACTTTCAGAAATGATATAGATGGAAGCCTAAGATCTAGGGTCCCATGGTGCTATTTCGAAAAATACAAAAGGTGACTGAATGCCTGACGAACCATTATATTAAGGAGTATTCAAACAGAAACAGTTTACTAGTTGAGGTGCAAAATACCTTCAAAAAGGATTGTTCCTGAGCTTAAAACCCACTGAGAGTTTGCAAGGTTAAGGTTATGTTGTTTATTCACTTCTTTTTTATTTGGTCTGAATGTAATGTCATCCTTTACACATGCCCCTACAATTACCAGCTTTGTTGTCTGTTTACTTTCTCGCTTACCTCCTTATCTCTAAGTACCTCCTTTCTGGATTGTGTTTCGGAATATCTGGAGGAATGTTCAACTATTTAACATTCACTGGAGCAAAATCAGCCAAGGGTATGAACTTTCCTCAGAGAAACAGTCTCAAGATCTTGGAACTCTCCCGGAAAACAAGGAGAGAGCGCCTTTGACGTGACGGACAAGTTCATTCATCAAAATTCAGAACGAAGACATTGAATATTGAATGACCTACCAACAGGAACAGCGCCAGTAAGTACTGTTGGGTGAGCGACCTTGGGTATGACAACCACGTGAGAAAGGACATTTTAAAGCTTAAAGTGGATATATATATGTGAAAATATTGAGTAACAGGCATGAAACAGCGGTGACTCTAAACTATGGCAGCCCAAAACCAAACAACCTAATGAACAGATTGATAACCTTGACGAGTTGATTTACAGGAATTGGTTTAACTTATAAATTAATCTTCCGCAGTCTGGAGAGTTTTCATTAGATTCCAATCGAACGAAGACTCACGGCCTAACCTTTTTAATACTAAAACACTTCATTACGCGTATCATATTCATGATTCTAATGTTGTTTGTCTGGTTTCACCAACTTGTCCACGATATAACTTACGCTGAATGGTTTTCTTACTGCGTGCAGAATTGGTCTGAGAGCGTTCGGCGTCTCCGTAGGGTTATAAGGAAAAATATAGGCGGAAATTGTCACTAGTATTTTTGTACTATTTCTAAGTATTTTTATGTCAAGTTAAAAGTGGAGATTTATCTTCAGGAGTGTTATGTACTCGTTGCCAATAAGTTATGGGGTCGTTGCCGATATTATGGTGTGACCGAGTGTAAATATGCGCTAATGAGATACAACGGACGATAACGTACAGAATAGTACTGCTGAGTACTTAATTTGTCCTGATGCCAAGAGGCAAATCAGAAGACCACCACGTTCACGACGATGCGTGTATTTTCCAACAAGGAAAATTAACTGTCACACATGAGTGTGAGTAGGAAAATACTAAAGAGTACTAAAGGTGTGAAAAGAGTGTGTTAACTGTACAATACAAGAGTATATATAAAAATGACTAAGATACATGAACCAATAAGATAGACAGTAGTTTTTCTTACCATCATTGGATTCTGATTGGTTGTAATGTCATGTGATAAAAAGGTCGTACATTGTTTATTTAGTTGATGGACATACGAAGCATGTTGTGAGTTATAATGGAGCAATGATCAATATACATATAGCAATCATATCAGACTGTCAAAACAAAGCAGACATGATGTGACTACATATCAGGGAGTTGTTCCTCGGTCTGGGTCTCTGTATCCTCAGCTGTCGTGGAATCAGGGGTGATCTAATCGAGGCATGCAAAATAGTGCATCTACCAGTGCATTTGACCTAGGACATTGCCAGAAAGACCTCAGAACTAGTGATTGCTGAATAATATATTACTGAGATTATACCCCCGAAACTTCTCAGTTCTAAAACGGTTCTTAGCAAACCAATGAAGGGTTTAAATCCTTGATGGACGCCACCATTCAGTGGCTTAATCGATGAATACTGAGATTTTCATGACATAACTCGACTTTTCGACTCCCATAGCTCAGAAGTATACACGTCTCCCATTCTCTTTTGCTTTTAACCTTTACTTTTCTAGATACATCCGTGAGCCTAGTTAATAACTAATACTATTAGTGCTACTTCATTATCCGGAACTGAGTATAACACTTAAACGAAGTAGTTTTGAGAGCCGCCGCCTTCACACCGCCTTCACCAAACTCCACAATACCATATCTGGCATAGCTGTTATGTGATGAGAAATCCGTTAGGTATGACATGGTCAACTTACTGCGGCACTCTAACAAATAGTCCCATTAGTTTTTGTTTTCCTTTCTTCGTTACTATTACACTGTTGTTCTCATCCTCTATCACAAATCAACTTTATATTTCGTATCCTGTGATGCATTGTTTGAAATGTAAACTCTACGCTTTTTTTAAAAAATTTTTATTTATCTTTTTTTGGCGATGGTTTTTTCATTTATTTATTTTTTGATTTTAAAAGTCTTATAAAATTTATGAGGTAATTAGATGCAACATACTGTAATGCACGCTGAAAATTCCATACCTGTACCACAAATACCGTTTGGAATAAAGCTGTTACTATTATTATTATTTCAAGGTCAGTCAGGTATCAGTGAAGGACATTGATATCCTATATATCACTCAAAATCGAAAGCACTGGTAATCTGGTTGTTGTTTTTCCGAAAGTGCGAAGGTATGGTTCACTGACTTGAACATTTGACTCATAGTCGATCGGTTCCGATCGGCTCGAATCCTGCTCCATCTATTTCATTCTTAGCGGATGAGTAGTATCATCAGCCCTGACATAATGTGACAGCCTAGTACATGGAATATTTCTTCTGGGTAACTAATTTCAAACTAAAAATTCCAAGGACACTTCAAAGTGCTTTTTGTTCTCTACCACAACTGTTTCCATTTATCTGATTGCTCTGATATTCTTTTACCACCTTAATTACTGTTAAATTATATTAGGGGCCTTATTTACTGATAGTAATTACTTTATTCTAAATGATACTTCCAATACATTAGGGAATTTACAGCACTTTATGTTACAACAAATATATATATCTCACACAACTGTTGTGTCAAGAGATAATCACCGAAGTTATATACTGTTCGTAATAACATTAATGTATATAATTATACATAGTTGAAAGAATGAAATAGCTGTATATTTAATGATTTAAAAGTTGGTGTTATTTTCTTACTCCTTTTTTGATATTTTTGCCCATTGTACCAAGTTTACATTTTAAGCAGTCAGGTAATAAAAGTGAAGTAGTCGAGTGTTGTGATATTTATTCAAGATGCATTCGTTAAATTTGCTGAGGTTTTACCTTGAGTCCATGCATGTTAATTGTCCAGTTTTGTGAATTGTAAGGGGAATTGTGTTGATAGACTATACTAATCGTTACCTTAATCAAATGAAGACTGTCTGGTACTACCTGTCAATCTGTAAAACAAGTCTTACACCTATTTTTCAAGTTTCCAAAAGATTTTTGGATCTCATTCCGGTTTAAGTTGTGCTAGAACATTAAACAATGTGAAGTTCATATTATATCCTTGTGTATCTTTTTGACCAATATGAGAAAATCCTAAGAAATTTTGTTTACTGGGTAGAAAAACAGATAGGACAGGAAGCTTGGATATGACCATTGATTGTGTAGGTGGCCAGTAGTTCATATCAGTTTGCGGTCGTAAGTCTGCCTGCGTGTTAAGCGAACAATAGACACTACGTTAGATTTCGCGTCTAAGAGAAGTGATTGAAAACTCGTCTCCTCTTTCCTGGCAGATTTTTTACTTGATTAGTGTCCTGCATATTTTACAAAACTTTGATAATCTCCTTCGCTTAGGTTTACTTCGACTTAAAAATCGCGTTAATCATTTGCCAAACACAGCAAAACTTAGAGTAACTGTTTGGGGCCGTGGAAATATCAAGAATCGATAGCTAATTGTATTCACTCTTTGGGGATTGTGCGTATTTATTTTCGATCTTTTTTCTGTTATTTCCTATTTCAGTTTAACTTGCAGTGTATGAACTACTTATTTATTTATTTAAACGCATAAAAACTTGGTACAATATGACACCAAGAAGGATGCGCCACACAATAATAATAAAACAACATAGATCAAAAGAAAAAAGAAGGAAAAGAAACAAATATACATAGGTAGAGAACAGATAAAGAACTTCATGTGGAAGGAAAACAGTCATGCCTAACAAGTGTGAACTACAGGTATAATATTTGTAACAGGAGAATGAAGTAGATAAGCGTACGTCTTAAGGGCATTCAGAAGTGCATTCATTATGTGCAACAATCATGGGGATATCAATTTGATACCATTCGCGTCTAAAATATTGGCTATTGTCTTGCTTCTAAGAATGTGCAAAACACGTGAGAAACTGATTTAGAAGGATCGGTCTGGGTTTCGTTCATGCCGTGAATGTGTCGATCATGTGTCAATCTTCAGTTGCTAGGACACCGTTACACGTATCGCAGACTAAAGGTCATTGTTTCTTGATATTAGGGTTACTTTCTATTCGTTGGACAGGACTGCTTCCTGGAACTCTCTGTTAGAGAGGGGCGTAACTGAGTAGTTTGTTGGCATCCTGAAAGCCATTAAATAGAGTGAGGTCATACAACCGGCTGTCACCACTGTTAGACAGGGCTACCTGCTCCCTCCGTTTCTCTTCAAATTTACCATCAGTGACATTCTGAAGTCATCTCTAAAGGACGTTGGTTGTGATTTAGGTCTGCTTCCTGGAGAAAGACTTTTCGACCTCGATTGCGCAGACGATGTAATCTTACTGTGCGATAGCATGCAGACCGCCCAAATCGCACTTAATCAGCTGGCGACCAGTGTCTGTAAGTGTGATGTGTTCTTGGAGCCTTCCAAGTGCAAAGTAGTTTTGCAAAATTGGCGGGAACCTGTATATGCGCTCACTTTTGCAGGTGAACCGCTTGACATTGTCGACAACCTCGTCTATCTGGGTGATTACGTGACTGCTGTGGGAGTTGTGAGTAAATACCTAGTCATGTAGTTATAGCTAGGGTGAAGGATGCCAATTAGGGCCACTGGCCTGACTGTCAAAGGTTGGGTTTACAGTGCTTCAGTACGCACACTCTTGTTCTCCTAGAGGTAGTTCGGATCGCTGGCTCGAAGTGTTATCATATATGACCAGGAATTGTAATCAATCGCGAATATGCTTCAATTTCTTTCTTTACTTTCTGAAAGTAATATGAAGTAATAGGTGTTGAGTAATCTTGACAAGTATGCTTGCTTGCTTTCTGGACGACTTTTTCATTCATTCTTTGCCTGTTGTCTTGTTTTGTTGTTGTGCACATGGTTAACTAAGTTTGTATTTTGAATAAGCAATAAAAGCACTTTATAACTTTTGTCAGAAGAAGGAAGAAAAAGACTGCTGTATGTTTGTCATCGATTTGTTTCTGGTCTATATCTGGTAACTTTTCGAGTCAGTGAGTAGATTGATACCTCAGACTTTACCTAGGTACTGTTTATGCACTGAAAAATGCTAATCCAACGACCACCCTTCATCTCATGACACCACTTCACAAACTCCTTTTTTAATATATTCTCAGAGTTACCAAACAGTGAATTTTGTACAAACCTCCGCGGCGATATTCGTAACACGTGTCAAAGTAAATGAAACCTATGTAGCAAGGCGAAATCACCAACTAACGGACGATCTTCAACAAGCCAAAACACACGATGTCTGATCTCAGGGTTAGTTACACAGTGACGCTATAAAGTACAATCATTTCTATCAAGCCAGTGATAGTTTGAATGCTTATAAACGTCGCCTATGAACTCTGAGAGGTCAGGTTTCACAGAGAACAAGAGTGCACATTCCAAATCTCTGTAAAGTTGGTCATTTATTTACTGTCCCAGATTTTGGTCATTCTCAACAGTTGTTTAATGGTCTCTTTTTTATTTCCTCGAAAATCAGCTAACTTGCTCTTTGGCACGAAAATGGAAGAGGATATGGTTGATTCCGAAATTCCAGGTGTCATATATTTGTCAACTATCCCAACTGGAATGACTGTCAGTATGATCTCCGGCATTATGCAACAGTTTGGTAAAATTGGTCGAGTTTACTTGGTGCCGAAAAAGAAAAAGGGGAAACATTGGGAATATGAAGAAGGTTGGGTTGAGTTTGTAAATAAGAAAATTGCCAAGCGTGTTGCCAAGCAGCTGAACTGTGTCGAAGTCCTGGGTTCAAAGGTCAGTTATTTTGCTTGATTGTATTATTGGTGTGTATTGTGGAATAGTTTGATATTCAAAAATATTCAGTGCGATTTCTGCCATCATTTCATGCTCACAGAATGCAGTTCATCTGGATATTACTCGCTTAGAGTATATTACTTATCGATATTTGTTTCGTTTAGTGTAAGCTTTTAAAGATTTAAACCTCCTCATCGCGTGTTGTACATGATGTAGTGAAGTGTCTTATAAAAAGTTCGGCTATATGTATCGCTGTGAGATATGTATAGTATGTGTACGGATGTAGTTTTCATTGTTACATCCAGATTATCATTGTGGCATATTTCACTTAGTGTTGTAAATTTCCAGGAGAAATTTACTATATTTGTTTGTCGGTGATGAGTTTGTGAAAATGACTTGTTTTTTATTATTTATATTATTATTCCCTTGGGTTCTGGGTGGATCAAAAGGGCATCAACAGCACATCTCAGTTTTCATGTTCCCTGGAGTCCTTTTGAGCCGGCCCCACGACTGCCCATTAGCTTTTATCTCCTCTCACAATCTCCTCTATGTTACCCTCGGACGCCCAACTCGTTTCCATTTGGGTTGCTCTCGAGAGCCTGGCGCGCAATTTCACTCAACAGCCCCCTCCGCGTGTATGCTATCCATCACTATTTTCGTCATTATATTTTTTGAACAATAGGCTCTTGATTGGTTCGTTGCTAGAGTTTCTTGTTGCTAATTCATTCTGGTCATCTGCTTTTCAGCATGAAGCCAGCGAAGACAACGGTTGATAGAAGTCTGCGACCTGTTAGGAATGTTTTCCATGACGCTCCAGGTTTGTAGTCATGTAGAAGAACTGACTTGCCGGTAGTGTTGAAAATCCAAATTTTGTTTTTTGTACAGAGTGCACGAGATTTCCAAACTGATTTCCGAGTGATAAATGTCAGTCTTGTATTTTTCTATCCTGTCTGGGATTTAACATCCTCATTCGTGCTGTCGGCTGTGATAGAAACGATAGTTTCTAGATAAGTGAAAGAAATGACCTCACTCAAATGTCTACTATTGATAGTGATGGGTTCTTGTTTTTGTTGGTTCGTTATCTTCATCACCTCTGTCTTCTCTGTGTTCCCTTGAGGTCTTGTCTTTGCTATATGCCTTCTCTACCAACTCACCACTTTTCGTCTGTAAGTCATCAAATTAATGTGACATAAATACTCTGAGAAGTTCAGATCTTCTAGAACATTATCGCTCCAATGTATTCCTGTCTTCTTACTTCTCACGTTTTCCTGCATATTCCAGATAACCACAATCGGGAATATCATCGGTGATACTAGACAGGCTTGTTTTATTCCCCTATTTGTCTCAGAGGCTTTGCTGTGTTTTCCGTTGTGACTCACTTGATATATGGCACTGTCATAATACTGTTGCGGGAAGTAGAAACAGATTTGGAGCACACCATATTTTCGAAGTGATTTCCAAATTACTTCTCGGCCAAAGCTGTCTGTTGAAGGCCTTGGTATAGACAACACAATTATTCCTTGCCAGTTCTTGCAGAGTCAGGCCTAGGTCGCCCTTCTTTGATAGTTTGACAAGATAACCTATCTTCCTAACATTTTGCTATTGTAGTGACGCCAGGATATCTGGTGTGGTCTGTAAGTTCGTTTTCAGTGCTTCAGGGAGAATAACGTCTGATCCAGTTGCATTCCCGGTTGGCTTTTGAGTAGCTTGATTGTATTTAGAATCTCTGCTTTCGTTGAAGCATTGGTATTCACTGGCAGTTCTGTGCGTACTTTTGTTGTTGCTGGTGGTGTGATGGTGTTTCTGGACGAGTTTCAGGTGATGGTCGATTCAAGGGTCCTTTGAAGTGATCAGCCCATTGTCTTCCTTGTCTCTCCTTTTTGGTAGTTAGGGTCCCTTGACCATCTTTTATTGGTTTCGTCAACTGGATTGATCTCTTCTGGAATCGGGACCTGGTTATCTGATATAATGTTGTCGTAGAATCGTCTTTTGTCCCTCCTAGCACTCTTCTTCATTCCTTTATTCAGTGCCGCGTACTTCCATTTCAGCTTCTCTTTCAATTACCCATCTTTGTAATAGTTCATCTTCTCTTTCACTCTCCTCCTCTCTTCTATTAGCTTCCAGGTACCCATTGAGGACCATTCCTTGTCTTGCCTCTTCGTTCTTCCTATATTGTATGTATACATTCTCTTGAACATCACCGTCAGAGATTTCTCAAATCTGCTCCTCCTCTCAAGTTTGTATCTAGTGGGTTTCGTCTCCATTTGAGATAGAGATGAAGTCTATCTGGTGTTTGACGTGCCTACCAGGTGAAATCCATTTCGTCTTCCTGGTGCTTCCACAAACTACCTCCAATTATCAAATCAGTGAAGTTACAGAGGTGAGTGAAGAGTTCTCCGTTCTCATTCATTTCGCCTAGTGAGGGCCTCTCGACCCATGGTGTATTCTCTTTCTACATTGTCTACTCCCAGTTTGCAACTCATATCGCCCATAGGGAGGGAGGGAGGGATTTTGACATCACCATTTGGGATATTGTCCATTACTGTTTGCGGTTGTCTTTAGGAATCTTCCTTCTTGTCTTGTTCCGCGTTGTTTGTAACATTGTGCGTAGTATTGGATAATTGTGGACTTCCTTCTTTCTCTTCTTCCTTTCTTTCTAGTTGAATCTTTCTGTCATGATCCTGCAGGATGGAATCGGTTCCCACTGCATTAAGGCTTTGGCTCCCACTGGTGACATCATGATAGCCACTCACTGCCTCAGTGTGATCATGGTTGTCCTCTAGATGACCGGAGTAGATTATTGACTCTCCGGTTACCATTGTGGAGATTTCACATCTATTCCTCCTGCTCTCACAGATTCCTAGTACTTCTATGACATATCTCCACATTTCTTTGGCTACCTGGGTATCCATTCCAGCTTCTTGCATTGTACGAACATTCCAAATCCCAATGTTTACTTTTGCTTTCATGGAAAGAAGACATATCAGCTGACTAGCTTTTCGAGGGCTTACATCAGCCCGGATTATTTCGTCCGTCCGAATACAGCAAGGAATAAGTTTGTTTTCTATATTTTTATCATGCTTTGAAGTTTCTGTAGTGGTTGATCTGACTGACTTTCCCTGTGCTCAACCTCCCCTCTTTACCTGAGCTTTATGCCTTTCAGAAAACTGGCGAACTAGTAAACTAGGCCGGGTTATTAGTTTGTTAGCGAAGAATTTATTGTTTAGTTCTCTTAAGCTAACCTGGACGCAAATCTCTCGACATTTAAAGCATTGGTCATGTGATAATACCGTCTGTCTCTGTGAAAAATTTATGACTCATATCCTGACTTGTACCTATGGTGTGGTTAGTAAACTACCCTTATGCCTTAGTCTTCTCATTATAATACAATAGTTTTGTGAGCCAAAGCACGGTGGTCTCTGTGTACAAAAGGAGATGGTCGTGACTCTGAAACTAAGATGGTAATACGTTTTACTTATTATTCTACCTCATTATTATTATTATTCTTGATTCACTTAAAACTATCCTTTATCGGTAGCATTATCTAAACTCCTTTCAACACCCTTATTATTATTGTTATTATAACTATTACTATTGATATTAGTCTGTTTGCAATTCTTGTTATATTCTCTAATGACTAATTGTTTATCTAAGTGATGTAATTGAAGCGTAATGCAGTTTACCTTAATTTTGATCTATCATACTCTCCCCTTATCTATTTGAACATGACCTGGAAAACATTCGCACTTGTCTTTCTGCATGACTAATTCAATGTAGTTTGTTTCCTTATCAGTCTTATATCTCCCAATGTGATTTCAAAAGTATATATATCTGTGTATGTGGAGTATTCAGCTGACGAGTTTTACCGAAATTTGATGAATTCATTAAATCATCCTGCTTTATTAACATTTATTGCCTGCTTTATATGATTAAAAGTTTATAGGTTTTAATTTTCAATTTATGGTCATATTGTTATGAAAAAATGTTTTATTTCCAGCGTAATCCGTGGTTTGGAGAGCTGTGGAACATTAGATTCCTCAAAGATACATCATGGAACGATCTTTTTGGTGCTGAACGTGAAGAAGAAGAACAAAGGCGTGCAGCACATGACCGTGATATAGTGGTGGCGAAACATCAGTCTCGTCAGTTTTCTGCAGCACTGGATACTAAGAAACTGGAAAAACGCATGAAGATTGTCAAAGGAAAGAGGTATGATTTTCACCTTGTATTAATTTTTAAGGACAGAATTACTCAACTGATTTAGTATGCTTTTAATTTTACACACCAAAGTTCATATAATGTGCGTCGGTGGCCTAGCGGTTAGGACGCTCGCCGACCATGCACATGGTCCGGGGTTCGATCCCCGGCCACAGACGCACTCCTTTACCTCGCTAAGCCAGAAATAATTCTGGTAAAGAAAAAAGGTTGGGCATGAGGCTAGCAACCCCATCCTGTAGAAATAAACACCACTGCTACAGAAACTTCAAGCCAGTAGCTTGGAGCCCTATGTTCCACTGGGGAAAGTGAAGGAAAAAAGTCCATATATGATTACCTCATTTGTAGACACCGAAATAACGACTATGCTTGAATGCATGCAGTATTATGCGAGAATTGTTTATTTGGTGTTTTCTCAATATACATACAGTTTTACGGAGACTAACTGAATGTAGAGTCGCTTAATACTTTCACTCTGAAGATTTCAGATGTCTTATGAATACTTTGGGACACTACATCAAACCGTTTTACACTCAACTATCATGTCTTTAAATCATTTCCTGGTATAAAGGTGGCTTATACTAGTGTGTTCTCACTTGACTCTGACTATACCAGGATGTATTTCATTCATCTCACCGTCAGCATTTGTATGACTGTCCATTTACCTGATCTCTACAACCATTTCTAGTTGAGTTATAAGCTCCATGAATCTTATAAAGGTGCGTTGCATGTCGATGTTGTAACCGAAATTCATGCCTATACATCCCCGCTCCCAAATCGATAGCTGTTGCTTTAACGTACTGGTCGGAATTGCATATCTCAGTGACCCAGCAGGTTACACTGTCTAGGAACTAATATACCTGGTGGTAGTAGCATGCCAGAAGAACAGTTTGGAGAGTGGTTAGACCAAAAGTAATTACCATCATGGTATAAGTTTCATACTGTATGTTGGGATTCTGAGGTCAAAGTCTTATTGCTGTCGAATAGGGGTGTAAGAGGAATAGTGCGTTTTTCTTGGAAGACCAGCAAGCTACCTATGCTACGTCTTTGTTTTGAAAACGAGGTGTTAGGCGACGTCGACCCCAAAAACTGTGCGTCCCAGCCTGTCGGTGGTACTATCTTCATATACACATAAAAACAGAAACAGCCGTCTGACTGACCTCAAGCAGTTGTCCCTTGGGCTCTGGGGTCCTGCCACATTGATACTCTTTCTGTTTTAGGTATTTCAAGAGGAAATCAACTTCCAGGGTGTTGGGTGACCTGGGATTTTTAACCACCCATACGTTTCCATAAGCACACAAAAGTTTCCTGACCCACCTTCAACTCCATTACCGTCCTTTTGCTTTCCTGTCATTTTTGACACCTCCACAAGTAGATTTTTTAATTCTGTGACTATTAATGCCTAACTGAGCCATACGAACGCTGAGCCTAGTCTCTTAAAACCCTACTGACTACTTCGTATTCGAGCACTCATTATTTGAACCTTATGCTGGATTTTGCAATAGACTTCACCAGCCAGAACTACGACATGTATTGTATTTTGGAGTCTTGCTTACTAGGCCCAAATGTGGTTATTCACTTAATCCCACTTAGGAAAAGTTTTGAATCTGCAAACTGTATCGTCAGAGTATCGGCGGACTGTGCAGCTAGTGCACGTAAATTTGAGAATACAGGAATAACATTGAATACTGAGTCAGAAAAATCGTTAATTCATTGGATTCCATTAAATAATCTTGCGTATGCTATCTGGCTAAATAAATAAATCCGTGAGAGGGAAAGATTACGACACGCGCAGGTATCTTTTCATAATCTCCTCTTGATCTCCAACCAACTGCAGTTTAGACGAAGTAAAGGATAGGTTCTGTCAAAAGTTGTCTTATTTACTGCTAAAAGCATTTTAACAGGTGACTTTAATGCCCAAGTAAGGAAACCATGCCAGTTAGAAAATTATATATTTGGGACCTACCATATCATATGCCGACGAACCGAAGACAGGGATTGTCTTTGATAGTTCTGTCCACATAGTCATCTGTTCGTGGTCAGCACTAATTTCAAAAACAAGGACACACATTACCTCACTAGGTGACCGCCAACATGAGAAAATTTGTATAAAAATAGGTCACGCCACAATAAGTTATCGACAGTGAGGGTTGGTAGGAGACTGGTGTTCCTTCTGAACCACTTGCGTAGACTCCGCCTATGCACTAGTACTTACGACAAAACGGGTATGGAAAACAAACAGCTACGAAACCGCTACCTGAGGGAGCTTACGAAATGGACATAAGTCGAATACATCTTAATTAAATGAATTTGTTGTGCAGGGAACACAGTAGCATTTACCTAGTTCCTAAGTTTTTTTCTCGTATTACGTATTCATTATTAAATGTAACCTATCCTTTATTAGGTTTAATGAGAGAAAACCACTGGATTTGAACAAACGCCAAAAGCTTACAGAAGAGGAGATCAAGGAAAAACTTGCTCGATCCAATCGTACACCTCCTGATGGATGTCTTGGATTCTCAGCAGTTTCAAATACGGAATTTATGAATAGTCTTTTTGCTGGCGGTCTTTAACGCCATACTTAACGAGTGTACTGTACATAAACTATATGCCTTAAAGTGTAAATATTTTTTTCAAGCTTTGCATTATTTGTATAATTACTATGTGGAATAGAAATGCTTTTTTCAAAGTAAATTCTAGAACATTTTGATGTTTATGAGTATTTCTTTTTAATCCTTGTCGAAAGGATTGTAGTGAGGCTTGATGTTTCTACCTCAGATTTTCAAAATCAGCGTCCTATTGTTCATACTTGTGGACTGTGGATATGAACACAATCAACTGGTCATTAAAGTGTCTAATTAAGCCGACTCAAAACTGTGATCCCACACAAAAAGTAATTCAATAGATAATCTAAGTTTTAGAACGTTTATTCCAGCTTTGACCCACACAAAAAACCTGGAGGGTCTGGACTTCGCCGATGATATATGTCTGATTTCCCGCAAACTGGAAGATACGCAAGTGAAACGCAACAAGCTGGCAAAAGAATCATCAAATATAGGCTTTCAGGTGAACATGGAGAAAATAGAGGTGATGAGGATTCCTGGACAACAGCAACAACAACAAGAGATAACAGTCAGCATAAATGGGAGGAACCTGAAAGAAACAACCTCCTTTATCTACCTGGGAAGTATCGTTTCGACTACAGGCGGATGGAACTGATGAGGATATCAAAGCAAGGATCGGGATGGCAAGACAAGCTTTCATTACTCTCAAGTCTGTGTGGAGGTCAACAGCACTCAGCATCAAAAATAAGATCCGGATTTTCAACTCCAATATGAAGCCAGTCAGTGCTACTATATGGATCAGAGACTTGGCGAGTCATAAAGAGCATCTCAAACAAACTTCAGACCTTCATTAACAGTTGTCTTCGCTCAATACTCAAGATCAGAAGACCAGAAAAGATCAGCAATAGTGAGGGATCTCTGGGAGCGAACCAACCAGGAACCGATTGTAAAACAAATATTTTTCCTTCACGTTCCCCAGTGGAACATAGGGCTTCAAGCTAGTGGCTTGAAGTTTCTGTAGCAGTGTTTATTTTACAGGATGGGGTTGCTAGCCTCATGCCCAACTTTTCCTCTTTACCAGCGTTATATCTGGCTCAGTGAGGTAAAGAATGCGTCAGCCGGGGATCGAACCCCGGACCATGTGCATGGTCGGCGAGCGTCCTAACCGCTATACCACTGACGCACGTAAAACAAATAGGCTAGCAGATATGGAGATGGATTGGCCATACTCTGAGGAAACCATCAAGTGACATCACACGACAGGCCATTACTCGAGCCCGACAGGGAAGCGACGAGTTGGTCGTCAGTGCCAGGGTGACTTGGAGGAGGTCATGTGAAAAGGAGATGAAAGCGTGTGGGCAGACTTAGAGCGGGGTGATAGCGTTGGCAGAAAATCGAATGCAATGGAGACACGTGGCTGAAGCCCTATGTTCCTCTAGGAATTAAAGGAAATAATAATAATACTTCGGCTTTAAGTGACACAAGTGTGTATTTCTAGTGCAAAATGGTTACAGATACATACGCTTGGTATATGCCAAAAAGTTTGTCACCTGGATTTAGAGATTATTGTCGACTGTATATTGTTTTAACGTCTTGTGTTTCAGCTTGCCTGATTTGTTGTACATTGATGAAGGTATTTTTAGCGGAAAGCCATGACTACGTAATTCTTGTTTACTAGTTACAATCTAAGTGTGATTTTCATGTGTTATACTGATTATGATTTTAATAGTTAAATGTCAAGTGGCAAGACAATGTCATATATAGAATAGCGAACTTGGAAAGGGTGTGCAATTATGGGATTAGTAGACAAATCGAATAAAATAAAAACGCTACGTAATATTGTGTGAAATTTGATAGCATAGAATTTAACGTTGTACAAAAAAATTGATTTAGAAGTGGAACAAGTGGAATTATACCGGAGACAGTTCAAAGTGAGGATAGTAATAGTAACAATTGACGTAATAAAGTAAGAGAATACTAATTGAATAGACAAAATGAAAAATTGGTAGAGCCAAAATATGATTAGGTATAACCATATTTTAGCATAGAGGGATTAAGACCATGAAAGTTGGAGGGGTTGAACGAACTTTTATTGTACACAGAGATCTGGCTTTTCTATTTCGATAGCCAAAGCTTCAGCAATACAGATGAGTCGGGTATGTAGTGATTTCGGTAAATTACTCTTTGCCTTGTAGATGACTTTAAAGGCGGAGGCTATAGAGATAGGATGATCATTATAGACCAGATGTTCATTGATCACGCTTCTTATTGCTCCGCTTCCACCTCTTTGTAACCATGCAGGATAGTGTTCTTGCACCCTCTTGGACAAAACTCGAATCGAACGACCGATATACCTAGCTTCACACGAGCAGGTGAATTAATAAACAGACATACAGTTGGTCAACAGCGGGATCTTGTCCTTCAGGTTATTGAACAGTAATGGTCGACTAGTAAAGGCTATTCTGAGAGATGCAGCAGGGAATGTTCTTTTCAGGGACTGTGTTATCCTTTGTTTCATGATATAGGAAGCTAAGTCCCCCTTTGAATTCCAAGCTTATGTACAGTATCTTTTGGGTGCGGATGATAAGTCACATTTCATAGGATTTGAATGTATATTATTGTCTATAAAACGTGGTGGAAATCCATTTTCTATTAGGATTTTCCTCAAAAGATTTAACTCATCTTCCACAGTATCACGGCCGAATGTGAGTGGCAAGCGACCGGACCAGGTTTCGTTTTCGACCAATGGGCACCCAGCAGTAGAAATTTGTCAGTTGGCCATTCCATGACAGTTTTCGATAAATCGATCTCTTCAGAGTTCCATCGGTCCCCCTTGATAAGTTCACATCGAGGAAATGAATGCTAGACTCGTTCTCCATTTCGAGTGTGAATTTTATCGCGGGATGGCAACCATTAAATACATTTAATATATTATTCAAATTACAATCACTGTTACAAATAATAAAGGTGTCATCTACATACCTTTTATACATTTGAAAGCTTTAGATTGTTGGCTTCAGCTGACCATTTTCTAGACTGGACATAAAACAGTCTACAAGGAGAGGACCCAAGGGAGAACCCATCGCAATATCATCCTTCTGTCTGTAGATTGTTTCATTGAAAGTAAACTGTACATTCAATGTACATCTTAAAAGTAGTTCTTTCAGATCTGTAGTGGGTATCCCTATATTGAATTTGTTGTCTTCAATATATTTGCACATAACACATATGGTTTCTGTTAGTGGAACTTTCGTAAATAGGGATTCCACATCCAATGACAACACATGTTTATTCAAAGCATTTGAATCCTGTATACATTCAACAAATTGGATGGTGTCATGAAGTGAATGATTAGATAGTTGTCCGAGGATTTCAGCTAACCACCCAGCTACTGGATGATAAGGTGATCCGGACATATCCAAGATAGGGCAAAGTGGAAGGTCAGCTTTGTGTATCTTCGGTAGACCATAAGGTCTTGACATTAGCGATCTTGTTGGTCTACAGCTTGATGATAAATCCTTTGAAAAGAGTCTCTACGCTGAATCACTTGTTTTGATTTTTTTTATACTGAATAATCTTTGTTTGGAGGGGAGACATGAATATCCTAACCTGTTTGGAAAAATCTCAGACGAAATCATGTATCTTTCAACTCAGGTACACTAGAACTATACACTTTCAAGTCACTTTGATACCGTTTCTTTCTTGATTATCTGAATATCACGATAATTCGCATGTTCCAAAACTGTAATGTGTCATTATTAATCTGTCATCTGTGCATATATCTGATTTTATTTATTCACATATGTAGGTGATTGTGAAACATAAATCATGTCTCTAAAGGGTAATTATAATGAAGTCCTGTTGACATTGAATAAAATAATCGTGGAAATGTAATCAGCACCAGTTTAGTGACATTTCTGGTTATCTCATATTAGTTTGTTTATTAGATGTATCACACAATGAAACAGTATTATTTACTGGATGACAAGGTTTTGAACAAAATTTATTACTGTTCATAATCATATCAATCAATTATAATCACACGGCTTTGAAACTTGAGTTTTATAGTTTTCTTCGTCCTCTCCTATTTGTCGTCGTCATCGGGGTAGTAACACTTTCCAGATATCTGGGACAGGTGTTGAATCATTCCTGTTACACGTATTTTCAGTTGATATAAGAATAAAACTTGTGCACTGTGGTAGAGTATAATTCCATTATAGGTAACACTGTGAGACTTTATCAAAACAAAAATTTACCCATAATGGTTTTCTCAGTTGATTCGATAAGCAAAGCTTCTCTTATCAATCTTTCCCTCCACCCTGCTGTGATATTAGACTTTAAAACTGTCATCCTATCCCATCCAGCCTACTGTATGGTTGTGTGTGATTGCATGTAGTGAGCGGTGTAGCTGAACTATTCTCCAGATTTCTTATCTTATTTGGGTCAACCAATCTAGATTTTGCCAGGTTTTTCTGTTCAGCTAATCTGACTGCCCCTGTTTTACTAGTTTGACCTATGAATTTGACCTGACAATCATTGCAGGTAGGGTATCAGATAAACTAAATTGTTTTGTTTTAATGGCTCCACAGGATCCTTTTTTATTATAGCTTGATTCCACACCGTATTTTTCTTGCTACAGGTATGGAATTTTCAGCATGTGTTATCGGTAACCCAAATTTTGCAGGCTGATCATAGATATCAGGTGTGCGTTGGCAGGGGATCGAACCCCGGACCATATGCATTGTCGGCGAGAGTCCTAACCACTGTGCCACCAACGCACACCGACAAAGCTAGTTTCTAATTGAGTTTGTTGGTTTGAATGCCACTTTTATTCCACATCGGATCTACACAGTTATGAATAAAGTTAACAAATCCACAGCATAAGAAATAGTTCAGCTATAGCACTACATGCAATCACACACAACCACACAGTAGGCTGGATGGGATAGGATGACAGTGGTAAAATCTAATATAACAGCAGGGTGGAGGGAAAGATTGATAAAAGAAGCTTTGCTTATCGAATCAACTGAAAATACGTGTAACAGGAATGATTCAACACCTGTCCCAGATATCTGGAAAATTCTACTACCCCAATGACGACGACAAATAGGAGAGGACGAAGAAAACTATAAAACTCAAGTTTCAAAGCCGTGTGATTATAATTGATTGATATAATTATGAACAGTAATAAATTTTGTTCAAAACCTTGTCATCCAGTAAATAATACTGTTTCATTGTGTGATACATCTAATAAACAAACCAATATGGAATTACTTACTACCACAGTGTACAAGTTTTACACATATATTAACATTTTGGTTACTTTGTAGAGATTCTAATCATCAGCTTTGATAGTCTTTTACTCTACATTATCTATCCACTGGTAGCATATAAAATCCTTAGGATATTTTATTTGTAGGATGGTTAATCTAAATAATGATGTGGTAGTTAGTATTTAGCACCGACAAACTGGCTGAAGAGGCTTGCAGCGAAGACAGGATTGTAGGTGAACATATAGAAGACGGAGGTAATGTAGATAACCAGCGAACAGCCGCAGGAACAACAACAACCAACCTCAATCGCCATCAGCAGGAGTGATATCTCAGAGGTTACTTGCTTCACTTCTCTATGAGTTATCGTGTAAACCGCAGGTTGAAAGGAATGAAAATATCAAAGCCACTGAGGATTGGAAAGGCAAGCTACACATTCAGATTGATAGCCTAAGTCCAGTTTCGAAACCTGCACTCGGCTAGCATGAAGGACAAGCTCCGAATTCTCAACATCAATATCAAGTCTGTCCTTCTATACAGGTCACAAACTTTGCGTGACACGTAAAGTATTTCCAATAGGTTGCAGAGTTTTATCAACAGCTGCCTTCGCTGGCTCATTACTGAAGATCAAATGGCCAGAAAAAATAAGTAACACGAAACTGTGGGAACAAACAAACAGGCGAGAGCCGATCTCTGAAAAAATATGTAGGAGAAAATGTAGGTGGATTGGATATACACTACGAAGACTGTTGAATGACATAGCGTGACAGGTCACTCACTGATCGAGGGGAATCGGAACGGCAACCAACGTGTGAGTTGCCCTAGAGTCATATGGAGGAGATTGTGCGGCGAGGAGACGATGAGAGATTATGGTGATTCGTTGACCCAGCTGAAGATGACGGCAAAAAATAGAAGAAAGTGGGGATGTGTTGTTGAAGCCTTATGTTCCACTGGGAACCCAAGGGAATAATAATATAATTTTAATAATAAATACTTCTTTGCGTTTAATGCACTCAATATACATTTAGATTTTAGATATTTCTACAAATTATGTCTCATTTTAGGATTCTTTTTTGTATGTAATGTTAGATATAACAAGCAGACTTATTGTTAATCATATGACTTGACCTTTTAGTAATTAATCAATGGAGGTATATTTAAAAACACAGAAGACTAATTAATTATTAATTAATTTGCTATTTTTATTTTTACACTTACATGTTTCTTTCTGCCTAAAAAGAAAATATGACTGGTCGTGGTTTAACCGAAGAACAAATAGATGAATTAAGAGAAACTTTTGGATTATTTGATAAAGATCATGATGGACATATAACAATACAAGAATTACGTTCAATGATGAAATTATTCAATCGACCGTGTTCATTAGATGAAGCCAAAGAAATTATGTCAGAAGTCGACAAAAATAATGATGGTGTTATTGACTTTAGAGAATTTGTTGAATTAATGTATCCCTTAATGACATCAAATAATATGGATGATGCAAATTTAAGAGCATCATTTGAATTTTTTGATAAAGATAAAGATGGTAGTATTACAACAAAAGAATTAAAAAGTGTTCTACAAAGTTTACACTTAAAATTAACTGATAGTGAAATTGATGAAATGATTTGTGAAGCAGATGCTGATAAAAATGGGACTATATCCTTTGAAGAGTTTAAATCTGTCATGAATAAACGTAAAAAGTAACAAACAAACTTGTATGGTATTTATTATGCAAGGATATCTATTTTAGTTTTTTTTTTTTAGTTTTCAACCATTTGTTGAAATTTATTTATTTGAGTGCATAAATGAATATCCGACCTACTTTATTAAAGAAATTAGAAGAAATTCATTTCGTTGGGAAAAATGTTTTGATTTTCAAAAGAATAGTTACTGAACAAAGTGTACTCTTTTCGATAACCTGTTCTTCATCAGGCTCTACAGTTACGTATACATGATAGTGAATGAATGAATTAGCGGTATAAAGAACATTAATGTTTAAATAACATCGAATCAATAATACTGATAGATTAAAACTCAATAGCATCAACATAAAATAAGATGAATGTCAGAAAGGCAAATTAGGAAAGATAAATAATAATAATTTTTCCTTCACGTTCCTAGTGGAACATAGGGCCCCAAGCTAGTAACTTGAAGTTTCTGTAGCAGTGTTCATTTTTAATTTTACAGGATGGGGTTGCTAGCCTCATGCCCAACCTGTCCTCTTTACCAGCATTATTTCTGGCTCAGTGAGGTAAAGGAGTGCGCCGGCCGGGGACCGAACCCCGGACCATGTGCATGGTCAACGAGCGTCCTAATATTATATTATATATTATATTATATAATATTACAAATTCATGAATTTATAGTCTCTACTGAAGGCTGGACAGGGCAGTAGTAGGGGCTGGACTTGCTTCTTCTCCACACAGAGCGCTGGTTGTTTGAGGCGAATTGCAATAGCCTCTACTGTTTGGAGCATGCGGTGCTTCAATGATTTTGGCGATTTATTAGGCACCCGGTAAGTGATAGAGAAGGATTCTTCCAGGCTGGCTGGCTTTGTGGCCGGTTTGCACCAGATGTTCCAATATCGAACTGTTAATGGTTTTAACTACACCTTTACTTAGCCATAATGGGAGGTGTTCTCGGGCAAGCACGAAAAATCAAGTTCCTAGAGCAACGGCCAATATAACTAGCTTCACAAGCGTAGTCGAATTGGTAGATATGATTTGAAGTGGTTAGTCTAGGTACTTCATCTTTCAGTCGAGGTAACACCATCGGTCGTGTAGAGAATAATGCGTGTAGTCTGCCAACATTAAAAGTTCTTTGAACTGATTTTCTTAATTTCCTCGTAATTATCTCACTTAGTATATCTCCCTTGAATTGTAGTTGTATATAAAGTGGCTACTTGTTTGCAAACAGTGAGTAGTCCTTTTCCGCTTTCTTTGTCATGTGTTTCTTGATAAATTTTTCGGGATAGTTACTTTCAATCAAAGTATCATGTGCAATGCTTAATTCATCTTCAATTACTTCTGAGCATATAGCTCTAACTCTGTGGTTGAGGGCCTTCACTAAATTTCTTTTGTACTTGATAGGAACGACGCTGCGAAAATGTGTATATTGTCCTGTCCAAGTACTTTTTGTATGCAAATTTCTTTTTATGCTACCATCTGGTTTTCTTGTAAGTAGGACATCCAGGAAGGCAATTCTGTCTAGGGATTCCTCTTCTCATGTGAATTTCATAGCCGAATGTACTTCATTGAATTCAATAATTATTGTACTCCTATCAGAACCATTATCACAAAGAATGAAGGTATCATCCATATATCGGCAGTAAAACGAGAGCTCATTGGTAAGGCTGTTCAAAGTTCCATTTTCTAGCTTACTTAGAAAGAAATCAGTCAGAATGGGACCCAAAGGGAGCCCATCGCCACCCTGTCCACTTGCCTGTAAAGCGTGTCGTCAAATTTGAAGTTTACATTCATGGTACACCTTAATAACAATTCTTTTAGTATTTCAGTACGGATGCGAATGTTTAATCGACTGGTTATTGATTGACTGATTGATTATTGATTTTAAAAGAAGGGGTATTCAACAATGTTATTCTTTTCAGAGGTACTATTTTCAAACTGTCCAACTGTACACATATATATATATATATTCATGTTATTAGATCTGTAGGTTTTTGATAACAATCAAGAGTTTATGAATCCTGTTATACAGTAAACACTAATCAGGTAGAAACTGATGCAAAAGGAATTAATTTGATTGATGTAACTACAATTGATAAGAATTAGCAGAGTTCAACTGAAGTTAAAAGACGATCAAGTTAAGATCAGCGTCACAAGGAGTGGAAGCGTAATACTAGGGGAGAGGAAACAAATAAGATTTGAACTAGTACGTGTCAGATATTGACGGCAAATTAGGTACATTTTTAATTTCAGTGAATTAACAAGCTTCTATATGAAGAGTTTAAGATTTAACATGTAAATTTTGAAGAAGTTTGATTCATACTCTTTTGGCAAGATTTTCGCGTACTCGGAAGTTGGTTTTTGGGATTGCTTAGTGTCCAGAATCGTTCAAACTTTCCAGAATAGACATACATGGGGATGGGGAGGGATCTCTTTTCTTCGCTGTAAATTTGTGACGGCAAATGTTCGATGATGCGTTTGGATAGCAGACGCTTATTATGTTTGATATGCTTAGCTCCACATAAATAGGTGAATTGATATGTACACACTAACAGGATCGGCGGTGGTAGCTTACCCTTCACGTTCATTCGAATCAATGGTTTTGGCACAAACAGCAGTTGAAGTTTAGCTGTTAGGGTTTTCCTCATTGAATAGGACCAACGATTGCTTGGTATTTCTCTCCATGAATCTCCATTGAGTTGATGGCTCAGGCAGGGACGTTTTCCGGGAAAATGTTTGGGCTTGATGAATTTTGTATCGAAGCGTTCTTGGTAGCCACTTTTTTATGAATATCCTTTTTTAGAGCATCAAACCTCTCTTCCAGGATGCCACGGCTGTAAATGTTGTGACTCATTGAGTGGATGAGGTTCAGTTGTTTATGCAGTCACCCATCTGTACGAGTTCTCCATTACGAGTGTGCTTTGAACCTTTCATACAATTGTAATTCATCTTTATGTTTACTGTCTATATGAATATATACTTTGGTGTAGTCCCTCTTCGCTTTTCACTCCTACTCCCATTAAAAACACGTTGAGGTAGGTGATAAGTAACCATGGGTCAATCAAGTGATGGAGATATTTAGCTTCCCTAAGTGATTTGCTTAAGGGTTTATGCTTAACTTTTGTTCATACTGTTGAAAATCTTAGCGATGAAACGGTCATAAAACACTGGCTGTTTTTTTTTATATCCGGGCTTAATGGCCATGTTTTTCAGCCATGTATTAGGACAAAAAGGATTGATGTACAGTAAAGTTGACTCTAATAGAAAAATTCAACACTGCTTGTGCTATGAGGGAGGCAGTTTAGAGAAAGTTCAACGAGCATTACGTGATAGCTGAGATTTTGTCGGCCATCAACTCGTTAGAATTATTGTCACATCCCAAGCAGGCAAAATAGGTTGGCATGTCTAATGACTTTATTACATGTGGTCAGATGGAAAACTGATACATACAGGTTGTGAAGTTACGAATTACTAGTGCTTGTGGTTCCACTTAATGCTATGTTGGCTTGTAAGGGAATCAGTAACGTGTATAATCATTGGATAGTAATGGATCTTAGTTACAGAGTTATTGTATTATTCATGTATAGTAAATAACAGGAGGATTTTTGGATTGAACACTAGTAACTAGTGTGATGTGTCTAGTCCTTACTTTGGTGCAGACTGAACTCCATCAGTCAGTCAGGTTTGCAATCTGGCTACCATTCTAGGCAGCTCACCGTCACGGTGCACATTGATTTGATGATATAAGATGGTTGGAGGCAGTCAAACCTACGCTTTGTGCTAGTTGGCACTCGTCAGCAGGCCGTTTTTGCAACCTCGAAGGAACTCATATCCTTTCTGAGATTCTAACCCATGTCATCCAGTGCTGCAGAAAGAGACGTTATCACTGAGCTATACGGCCTCGCGATTGACCTCCTGTAGGACTGTATTGAATATTTTGATTCTACACTAGTCAGTACCTAATGTTAATGTGTCTAGTCCTATCTCAGAAGAGACATGAGTTCCTTCAAGGTTGCAGATGCGCCTTGATGATGAGTGCCGACTAGCACAAAACCTAGGTCCAAGGCTTCCTGCCGATTGCCTCCAACCATCTAATATCATGATTATTAAGTTTATAGGTTATTTTATTTCTGTATTTAGTAGGTTATTGAACTGAGTTCAAAAAAGTATCAATGAATTTTTCATTAATAGACAGCTTTGCTGCAAAGAATCATTTAAGATTTAGATCTTAAAATACTGATCAACTTATAAGTGTTAACTGCTATTTAATGAGAATTTTCCCCGTAAGAATGATCAATACAGCATACTCGTTGGCCAAGAATATTAAATCGTAATAACTCTAAGTATCATCGTCGACCAAGCGGTGACCAAGTAAAACAGGGCTGCCTATTATCACCGATGATATTCCTAGTTGTAGTGGACTGGTTAATGCGTCACACTAGGGGCATCAAGAAGATAGGAAAACTCTGATCTACCGTTCAGAAGACTGTAGAAGATCTTGATTTCGCTGGTGGATGATATATATCCAGTGTCGCATAAACTCAGTGATTTACAGACAAAAACCGGCAAACTGGCTGAAGAGGCAGGCAGGCAGACAGACAGGCGAAGACAGGATCGTAGGTGAACATGGAGAAGACGGGGGCGATGAAGATAATCAGCGAACGGCAGCAGCAACAACAACCGGGCCGAATAGCTATCAGCAGGAGTGATTGGACGTAGGTTACTTGCTTCACTTATCTAGGAAGTATAGTGTCAACTACAGACTGGACGGATGATGATGTCGAATCCAGTCCTAATCACCTAAGTATTTCATGAGGAATCGACTAATTCGAAATGGCATAATCTTATGCTAAGGTTTCTACTGTGCAAAAACAGTAAGATGCAATAGGAATGTAGGTTTCGTATTGAGCACTTGATTACCTAATCACCAGAAGCCTCATAATATCGGCTACTTTGAAGTTTTATGTGGGTTTCTTTTTTAAACTTTATTTTAGTCTTTTGCTCCCTTAGTAGAGATTAGGGCTTCAAACTTTGAGTTTTAGAGTTTCATTAGCAGTGGGATGTCTATTTTATACGCGGAGGGGGTTGCTGGCTTTACGCTCAAACTTCCCTGTCTACCAGACACAGAACAGTCTGTCAAATATCCAGATCGCAGAGATCCTGAACCTATCGCTAGTTTCAGAAGACCAAGCTTAATGCGCATAACACTATGCACTGTAACCGATGCAGTACAACAGAAAACCGTCGGGTAACACGATTGTTTATTCTTCAAGTGATAACGAGATAGATTTGTAACGGTTAATCAGTGCCAAAGTTTCTGATCGTATTTCTCCAATCTCCTGCTGAGGAGTACACGACTGAGCAATGGCAGTAATGTTGTCTCCCTATAATGGAAACCAGTTGGAATAAACAAACTGTTCAATGTTCACTAGCTAAAAGAGATTAAGAAGCGCGTCGACCGATGACGGAACCCTGGACCTTGTGTGTGGTTGGCGAACCACCGACGCACAATTCGGGCTCCAAATATATTCATCTGCATTCATTATATGTCATCTTTAAATTACTAAGTTAAGAGCTAATAACCAAATAACTCCTCAGAGCTTCATGATTTTCAGTGACGCATCGCCTAGTGGTGCTTTCTAATGAATCCTACTTTGCTGTTGAAGAGTATTTGTTGTCGTATTGTGGTGGTGTGGAACTGACAATGTGTTCCAACGGAATATTATGCTCACATATTCTCACAGTTCAATTCGGCATTAGCAGCAGAGTACTAAGCGTATTTGAATATTCTGTTTCAAGTCGTTTTGATATAAGTCAAAATCACACGCTGAATAATTGGTTAGAGAATATAAAACTGTATATACATAAATGGCGGTTTGATCACTTGAAAGTATACCTTGGCTTCCGTGTCTTGCTCTCTGTTGTTAAAGTATTAAAAATTTCAGCTGACGTTTAAGATTGTTATATGTAGTCTTTGGCTTTATTAATTCAAAAATATGTCAAAAGTGTGCACAGTTTAGCCAGAGTGTTTCTCATTTTTGTTTTTAAATTACAGTTTATAACACATTTTTGTTTGATCATAAATTGTTTCAAACGATGATTCAAGTACAGATGGTTTACGTGAAATGTGCACACTTGGTCCAGTGGAGGCATAATGCGAATTCGGATCGAAAAGACGACTTCTTTTATAAGATCTTGAAGTAGCAGGAAGTTTATCATTGTCGTCATAACCGCCTTCATTGTTCAGTCCAGATTCAAACTGGAAAAATAAAAAACAACGCAGTAATTACAAGAGATGATTTCAAAGTATGCGGAAGTTACATTAACTTAAAAGTTGTATATTTTATAATTGCAGCTTATTGTTATAGCATATAATTTACACTTCCATAATAAGAAGAAATAAAAGAAACAGAAGTAAATTAAAATAAATAAAGCATAGGAAAAATAAGTGGGATAAGAATTATAGTTTTCAACAGTTGATTTGTAAGGATTAGATTTGTTTCCCAAGTTTGACCACAGATTGTTAGCAGTTGGAATAATCATTGAAAACTCAGGAGTACTGGACAGCTGTTTTTCATTCCAGTTAGGGAATCATTGGCAGTATGCAACCACTGCCAGAGTTCGAAACCAGGACCTTCCAGTTGCGAGGAAAGCTCGTATACCATTCAGCCACTGGAACCCGATTCAATGGTTTATGAGTTCTAACTTCTACCAATTAGTGATTTAGCGTGACCCCAACCAATGTCATCAGTGGGACATCCATCCGCACACGCGACTGGATGGACCTCACTGGTCGCGACTTCTCAGTAGAACTCCAGGAAACTCCATCCTGTAGCAAGTCACTAGCGAGCATCAGATTAATTTTCCATAGTTGGTTTGTAAGGGTTAGTTGTGTCTTTAAGTGTTGATCACGGGTGGATATCAGTTAGAGAGCCATTGAAAAACCAGGGAGTACTGGACAGCTGTTTCCATCCTTCATTGTGACCGGAAGGTCCTGGGTTCGAACCCTGGTGGTGGGTGCGTGCTGCCGATGATTCCCAAACTAAGATGAAAAAGCAGCTGTCCAGTACTCTCTGATTTTCAATGTTTCTCTAACTGATATCAATTCGTGATAAACTCGTAAAAACAAAACTAACCCTTACAAACCAACCATAGAAAATTCTCTAACTGCTAACAATCTGGGGTCAAACTTGAACGAATTTTAGTACTTAGAATTCAGTTTTTTTTTAAAAACCTTAGTATATAGAAAGTCTATGTGGAATAGCCAGTTGACAAACTTCTTCAGTTGGGTACCCATAAATCGCAAGCAAAACTTGATAATATCTAATAAAGTATAATTATATTTCAATTGTTTACACACAACGATAGGTTTTTGTTATTTGTAATATTTAGAGCGAAATTGCTGCCCGTGTTCACACCAACTGTCTTGCGACTAGGATCAGAAGAACTTGTAGCATTGAGTCGGTAGATGAAGAGATACCATTTTAACTGTTCCTGTGGAGCCAGTTACACAGGCCGTAGAATTAGGCGTGTTTCTCATCGGATTTCCGAACATCACCCTGCCTGGTTAAGTAAAGAACAAACAAAATCTATTCACAGAGCTATTCTATCTCATCTTGTGAATACAGAACACAAGACTGATGTTAACCAGGCTTTCAATGTCATTTACCGCATACCAACAAATCTCAATTTTGCCCAAAGAGTTCGATTACTAAATATTTCTTAGGCTGGCTGTTGGGATCCATATTAAGAAGCCTAATTTGTGCGTCAAAAAGAAGCTAGTTCAGACATTATCCATACGCGCTTGACCATCTAGGTTTGAATGATCCTCAGTTTTTGTGGAATTTTCCTAACTTAGAAAAAAATATTATTGGGTATTCTTGAAGCTGACAGGAGCTGTTAGCTTATCTAACAAAAAGAAGGCTTTTGTCTTTCAACTTCAAACACCTCCTAGGGCGTTTAAACTACACTTTTAAATCAAAGTTGTGCCAAGTATTGAAGTGGATAACGTTTTAGAGTTTGAAACGAAGGGCACTGAGTTCGAGTATCATTGGGAACACTAGCACTCATTGAGGACTGCAGATGTATCCAACTGACGAATCACAAATGGGACGAAATGCGAATCTTGGATTCTACTGCTAGTCACCATTCACCGAATAATATCAAGGTTAATCTTCAGACACTGTTGAAGTGTCCGTCCGTATTTGGAGGCGACATACCCACAACAGCTGAACATATCAGTTCAATCAATTAATGGGAAAAACAAAAATTTACTTACACTGTGTGACTGCCTCAATCGATTAAAAACATTTTGTTGAATTGGAATCTCTTTGCCATTTAAATAACTTGTTCGAGAATTCGGTGATGCAATTATTTCAAGACCTTCACTTGATGTGTACTATTTTTAACGTTAATTATTATTATGAGTGAAAATATAGAAAGTCTTACTTTAGAAATGGAATCGTTATCGTCGTCAATATTATTATTATTATTTAACATCTGATTCCCATCTTGACAGGATTTTGTTCCATACAGACAAGAATTATTACGACCACTGGAAGTGAAATATTAAGCATATTATTTAAGAAAAAAGAACAACTTATAATTACATAACATTAACTGACGGACTCTTCGTCATTCTTATTGATTCAGATAAATTAGAACTGGCGCCATTTTGATTTTCATCCATATAATTTGTTGCTGTATTATAACATCTTGAATTCATGACGACATTATTTGTTGTTAATGTTGTTTGAATTGATTTGTCAAAAAGTGAATCTATATTAATGTAAACAATTATATAATTAAAGTTTTATCAAAAGACTTAGTACACAAAATATACAGATTATAATATATCTAGCAGTGGAATCCAGGATGCACATTTCGTCCTATTTGGGACTCGTCATCTGGATGCACTTGCATTTCCCAGTGAGTGATGATGTTCCCACCGAGGATCGAAACCAGTGCCCATAGTTTCAAACGCCAAAGCGTTATCCACTAGACCACAAGGGCCACAAGAGCCACCTCTTGTGCAACGGGTCATAATGATTTAATTGAATTTTAGATTTTCCCGCCAACTGATTGGACTGAAGTGCTTGGTCTCAGGTTGACGTGTCGGCTTCTTGTGCAAATGCTTCGACGTCGAAGCACCACTGGGAAATGCAAGTATATACAGATGACGAGTCCCGAATAGGACGAAACGTGCATCCTGGATTCCACTGCTAGTCACCATCCACCAATTAAATTCTAATGAAATGCCCAGACATCGTCGAAGCATCTTCACAAGAAGCCGACATGTCAACCTGAGACCGGGCATTTCGGGCCAATCGCATGGCGGGAAAATCTAAAATTAAACTGATGAGTATTATTCGAACTTTGTGATCGTATCAAGTTAACTGAGAGTGAACAACAAGGAACCATATTGTGGTATAGGTTTTTACTCATTGGTTGGTTGGTAAAATTAATTTTCGAAGCGCTTATTTAAATAATCATAGGAATTTGAAAAGCTCCAGACTCTACTCTATTCAGTCTTTTGTATTCACATTCAATTCTAAAACGCAATTGTGTAGCATTCTATTTCTGGATGGACCTGTTATCATCCAAGTAGAAAGATGTGAATTGGCGCTTCACTATTTTGAACTTGTGTCACTCATAGACATTTCCACTCATGTTTAGTTTGCTAACTCCTTGAATGACTAATCCACACTAGAATATCCTAGAAACGACTGGATTGAATTTTCAACGTAGAGATTTGTAAAATAAGTGCAATGTCCCAGGTTGCACACTTCATGAAAGCACATATAAAGGCAAACAAGTTAAAGAAGTGCAAACAAACTATAATGCATAGGAAAAAGAACAAGTAGAGGGAAAATAGGGTGGAATTTAGTGGACTAGAGGGTTCATAAAGAGTGAATGTATCTGCGCCATTGAGAACGATTTTAAGCCATCTCACCAAAGGTCAAAAACCAAATCTTGTCAGTGTTTCGACGATCCCAGCCAGCCAGAAAGTCTACACCTCCCTACATGACTCAAGGCAACAGCCAAAAACTCCATAGATTGATGCCAGATTTTTATTTGAACACCCACAAATCTTCTTGAATTTAATACTGTCAGCAAACATTGCTCCCGGAAGATTACAATTTTTTGATGCGTATAGGTTATCCTAGCCATCTGAACTTATGCAACTTCACAACCACATCGATTGTCTTGCCAACCTCCGTTTATTTGACCACCCCTAGCTGTTTTCCAATCCCAATCTATTACCCTTAACATTGCTAGACGAGGAAAGTGATAACCTGACACATGAGTAACACATGTTCTAGCCATCTCAACTGATGCAGACCCTCAAGCTTACCGATTGATTTACCTGCTTACCCTAACACTTTACTTCTCACCTAAATGTTATTCATCACCACTTAACATGAGAGACATAACGGTTACACCTATTGTCAGAGATATTAGCCTCCTCATTTATTTCACTTTCAGCGCTTATTATGGCTAGAAATGTCTGTTAAAATATTATCCAGTTTAATTTCACTATAAGAGTTAGTCTATATTTTAAATTTGGAATATTTGTATTCAAAAGCTCATTCATTTAGGATGTAACACAGAATTATGATTACAATTTTTTTTTAAAAATTTTTATAGTATTAAGGTGGATTAAGTTGAGATAAAAAGTAAAGGTAAGTGTATGACAACAGTCAGAAACAGCTAGGCGACTTATCGCCTGTTCCATCAAATAACCTACGAAACTTAACAGACTCAGTCCGCATCACAGCAGCCGAAAGCTCGTTTCAAGTCTATGTAAACCGGTCACATATAACTTTCCGTTAATAATCAACAGTTATCATCCCATCATGTTTTTAGTTTAGCCTGCTAGGATAAGCTATCTCTCACAGCCTCATCAGTATGTGTTAATTGAAGTGAGTTAACGTTTCACTTGTACAAGTAACTTTGTTGTTAAGAAAATAATGCTTTTACCTGCCATTTGGTCAATATTCATACTTATAAACGGAAATAGGTATATTAGTAATAATTAGTGAGTATACCTGGAATGAGGGACACTCATAGACAAGAGATTTATTCAAGTGAAACAAATTTTAATTCATAACTATCAAAGCCAGATGCTGAGTGATGAGAAGATTTAGAAAGTTTCATTCTTTTCTAACTGAAATACATTTCAAATTCTTCGTTCTCTTTTTAACAAACAGGATGATTTAATCTCAAACTGACTAAATTAAATCTTTAAAACAAGTAATTTTTTTAACATCAAATTATTACTTCTTTTGAAAGTATCCGGTGTTTGAACTGTTCGATGACTACGATCTGATTGATTTAAACAATAACTACACGATTGTGATTCATTCAAATCCAAGTGTAAACATTCCTTCACTTTTGAATTGGCATATTTTCCACCTTGACAGAATTCTGTACAATGCTGATTCATAGTTGTAATTGGATGATAAGTTTCTGTAACAATTTTTACAGCGTATTTATCCATAAAATTTGGTGTATTTTTCTCAAGCAAAAGATTGCGTAGTTTCATTTCCATAGCTTCTAAACGTTTATCAAAATTAATTGTTTGTAAATTGTCATATAGGCTGTATTCACTACTTCGTAGCGTTCGTGTTTCAAAGGGATACTATAAAAAGAAGTTTAAAAGAAAAGAAAAAATTAAAATGAATAAACTTGTATGGATTTGCATACACTTTGCAGATTCAGTTGATCGAATATACTATGTCTGACAGTAAATAGTACGAAACTCTACAATACTCTCTTCGAGTTATATGATTTTTGTCAACTGTAAATATCTCCTTTTCTGTGTGTTAGTGTGCTCATAAATTCAGTACTCATCATTTCCTGAATTAGATTATTATTATTATTGAGGGTATAATTTAATGATAAGGACATTTAATTGTTTGGTTACAGCATTTCATGATGAGCTGACATCAATCAGAGAACCATTGGGAATCCTGGGAGTACCGGGCAGCTGTTTCGTTGGCCTAGTTCGGAACTCTTCGTCAGTACGCACCCACCACAAATGTTTGAACCTAGGACCTTCTGGCTACAAGGCGAGCTCGTATACCATTAAGCCACTGGGACCCATTCCAACGGCCCGTGAGTTCTAACTTCTGCCAATTCACGACATAGCGCAACCACTAACCAATGTCTTCGGAGAGTATTTGTCCTAACACCCGACGTGCTGCGCCCTACTGGCCACGAATTCCCACTAGAACCCAGGCAACCACCTACCTACTTATTCACAGATTTTCCAATGGTTATCTAACCAATATCAGCTCATGATGAACTCCTGTAACCAATCAAACACATTCCCTACAAACCAATACTTGAATATCAATGAAATGCTCACTGTCGACTGGCCCTATTCAGGTAGACATTTACCTGGATTCTAGTGAGAAGTCATGACCAGTGAGGTGCAACAGGTCGGGTGTGAGGACAAATACTCGCTGAAGACACTGGCTATTGGTCGCGCTATATCGTGAATTGGCAGAAGTTAGAATTCATGGGATGGCCATTGGATCGGATCACTGTTGCTTAATGGTATACGACCTCTCTGGCCTTGTAACCAGAAGATCCTGGGTTCGAGCCCCGGCGGTGGGTGCGTACTGATGAGGAGTCCCAAACTAGGCCAACGAAACAGCTGTCCCCTACTCCCAGGTTTTCCATTGGTTCTCTAACTGATGTCAGCTCATGATGAAATCCTTTAATCAATCAATCAATTCCTTACAAACGAATACTTGAATTTAATTGTTTATTTACAAGATTACAGTACTCAGGATCTCTCAGCATAATGACTACTTGTGTGGAGTGTATAACTAAGATCTTACAGAATATATCAGTATCCTCATGAACAGCTAGTATTATGAAACAGATGAATCAGTTCAACCCTGTTAATAAAAAGTATTGCAGAAGACAGCAATTTTTTTCAACTTGATTTATTTGAAATGAAGATGTTCTGTTCATTTTTCTGAACTATATTCTGTCTAAGTGAAAATTCCACTTACTGGTGGCCATATTGCAAACCTGACTGACGGAATTCAGTCTGCACTAATCGAAAGATCAGACGTATGACATTAATATTCAGAAGTTAAGATAATCAGGAATCAATCACCCTCTAATTTCACAGTTGTTTGTATTTTAACTCTTGCATCTTACTTATGGTTGTTTATCGCACCCCATAGTTTTTATTGGGGCTACTCAAAGGGGCAAGTGGTGTGCCATTAAGCCGACAGACACCTGAAATCAGGTGAGAAATGGTTCAAATCCATATTGCCTGACTCTCAGCATCCTCTCTATTCACAACTGTCCCCTTGCATCTCATCACTTAGGACTAGAAGTTATTATAAAAGATTATATGCTCGTATAATCAAGTACGAAAACGCAACGATACTCTATTTTGTCCGTGTTCTATGTCGTAGAGATAGTGTTAAGCATGGGACCTACAACTTACTGCGTAATTAGCAAAATAAACGGTCATTTTATCTTCTCCTGTTTGTAATTTATTGTGACACTATTTCAGTTATCTTGCAATTTCAGCTATCGGTACTATTATCATCATTTTGCACTTTTTGTACACTTTTGATTTCATTGTTGTTGCTAATACCAAAAAGCTGCTACTATCAATTCTGATTACGAATAATCTGTAATATTATTTGTTGTTTTTATTGTTTTCAAGTGCTAGTTTTTTAGGGATCCTGTTTGATTAGATTGAGGATTTCATCATGAGCTGACATCAGTTAGTGAACCACCGGAAAACCCAGGAGAAGACGAGGCAGTAACTCATCGAAGAAGACATTGCGAATTGGTTGCGCTATGTTATGAATTAGCAGAAGTTAGAATTCATGGGCTGGCCACTGGATCGGGTCCCAGTGACTCAGTGGTCTACGAGCTTGTTGGCCTTGTAACCAGAAGGTCTCGTAGGTAACCTCGTATTAAAACAAACAGACTGGTTTTATAGTGATTTAAAAATTGACTGACTATAACCATTACTGATTGAATTCAATCACAGTGTTCGAGGATAGCTTAGTGAAAAAAAATTCCATTTGAAAGGAAGCTAAATATGAATGTCCTTTTAAAAATTTTGGTAACAGAGTCTAATTGAATATTGTATTCATAAAGTACATTACAAACACAAATCAATTTATGTTTCGAAGCTGAGTAAAACTGAGCTGTACTGTTTCTTGATGTGCAAATTCAATTGATTACAGAATTCTGTCATAAGTTAATATCGGATAGATAGCCATTGGAAAACCTGGGAGTACTGGAAAACGCTATATCTTAAACTAGAAGGAGTTAGAATTCATGGGCCATTGAATCGGGTTCCAGTGGCCTAATGGTCTAAGAGCCCGCCTTGTGACCAGAAGATCGTGGTTTCGAACCCCAGTGTTGAGTGAGTACTGATGAGGAGTTCCAGACTGGGAAGAAACAACTGTTCAGTGCTTCCAGGTTTTCCACTGGCTCTGTAACCAATATTAGCTCATGATGAAATCCTGTAGCCAATGAAATCAAATCCCTGTAGACTATCACTTGAACATAAATTTAAATCGACTGCAAAATATGAAATCTTCTCATCATTGAGTTGTATGCAGGCTGGAATTTTTTAATGTATTTACGAGGTCAACATTAAGTTTCAAAATTTGGTCAACAAGCGACTATGAATACTTCAGAATCACCAACCAACTGAGGTTGACTGAGGTTTAGTATGTGAGAAGCAGTGCAGTGATGGAGAAGAGAGGTTTACCTGTGATGAAGTAGTTGTCAAAGCTGTCAGTAAACCTAACGTATTTGATGATGACCAGAATTATAACTGTGGATACAGTTCCTTTTCTACTTAAGATTTATAAGTAGAATGTGTGTGCATCCTGCGTATTTTTCCTTTATTCTTTTACGTTCCCAGAGGGACTCAAAGCTTCAAGCTAGAGCTTTGAGGTTTCAGTAGCAGTAGTATTTATTTTTACGGGACGGGGATGCTACCCTTATGCCCAGCCTTCCCTCTCTATCAGCCTTATTACTGGCTTGGTGAGGTAAAGGAGTGTGTTAGCCTGAGATTGAACTTTGAACCACGTGTGGCTTGGTTGGCAAGCATTCTACAGTTGTGCCGTCAACGTGTGTCCTGCGTACTATGCTCGCATAATTAAAACACCATTACAGTTTATCTAACAAATTATTAAAGTATGACAGCCACTCGCTTTTAATGCTTATGATTTATCATTGTTTACTTTGCTCGGTAGAAAAGATTTGTGCCTGTTGGTCTATAGACTCCAATAGGTATTGACTATCATTGTCTTAGGTGCCACTCTTTTACCATTTAGAGTGACGGTGACCAGTACACAGTTTTCGTTTATTTCAGCATTTGTCAACTAGAAGTGCCTACATCTCATGAAGCGAATGTGTTTGCGCTAAGATTAGAATTTAAGAACCACTGGATTTAATCAAAATGCTAGTGTAATAACCTGAAGGTCTAGAGTCCAGTCTCCTGCTTGGTTCTCTAACTGCTGTTAATTGTTGATCTAAATCGATATGTTATAAACAGGTGGTATATATTATGTTGCAAAAGAGTAATTACATTTGACTTATATTAGATAGTTGGAGGCGATCGACAGGAAGACTTGCCTAACCTAGGTTTCGCGGTAGTCGGCGCTCGCCAGTCAGCAAGGTGTATCTGCAAACTTGAAGGAACTCATATCCCTTTTGAGATTACAACCTAGCACGAAACCTAGGTACAAGGCTTCCTACCGATTGCCTTCAACCATCTAATATCATCAAATCAATGTGCACCGTGATGGCAAGCTACCTAGAATGGTGGTCACATTACAAACCTAACTGATGGAATTCAGTCTGCACTAGACAGATCACACTAGTTACTAGAATTAGAAGTTTTACACTCACGGTATTCGCGTGTTAATGTCAGTAAAAAGTTTGAGCATTGTGGAATACATCAAATAAATTATAATTATATTTCAGTAGTTTACACACAATGATAAATTTTTGTTTTTTTTGGTAATATTTCGAGCAAACTAACTACCCGACTTATAACTGTCTATACAAATACTTTGTCTCGAATTTACCAAACAGTCCATTCAAGGCGTTATTTTTATTGTTCTCAAGAATGAAACACGGATTTTATATCAGATTTGAAGGATTCACACGATTCGCTGAAAATGAATTAACGAACTGATCTAAGACTTCAAATTCTAAAATGCATACCAAGATTTCAAGTAAATGTCTTCACCAATGTTTATGTGTACCTTTCTGAAGCATTTTTTATTCACGTTTAAAGGTGCTTCAGAGCAAGTTGACCTCAACTTTTAGCATAATAAAGTGAATTGCCTAACATAGTTCTGTGATTTACCAAAGCCATATGGGTTCATAATTAAACAATAGACTTTTGATAAATTCAAAAAGATTGATTGTTCTGACACATATTCAGTAATTTCAAGATTAGTTACAGGATTTCATCGTGAGCTGACATCAGTTAGAGAACCACTGGAAAACCTGGGAGTACTGAACAACTGTTTCGTTCTAGTTTGGGACTCTTCTGCAGTGCGCATCCACCACCAGGGTTAGAACCCACGACCTTCTGGTTACAAGGTGAGCTCGTACACTATTCAACCACTGGGA